ACGCTGTAGTACCTTATTCAGATATTGCTTCTGAGTCAAACAAAGTTTGCCTCTCCTTCTGTCCCTACTTATCTCCATCCCGAGAATTTTCTTAGTTTCCCCCAAGTCTTTCATCTCAAACTCTTGATTCAACTGAGCCTTCAAATGATCAATTTCCACTTGGCTCTTTAATGCAACCAACATGTCATCCACATACAAAAGTAAGTAATTGAAAAATCCACCCTGCAGCTTGCGTAGATACACACAATGATCATGTTTGCTTCGTGTGTACTTCTGCCCAATCATAAACTTATCAAACCGTTTGTACCACTGTCTCGGAGATTGCTTCAATCCGTACAACGATTTATTCAACTTACAGACCCAATTCTCTTTTCCAAGAATTTTGAATCCTTCTGGCTGAGTCATGTAGATTTTCTCATCTAAATCTCCGTGTAAAAACGCCGTCTTCACGTCAAGTTGAGCTAGCTCCAAATTCAACTGTACTGCTAAGGCCAACAAAATTCTAATGGAAGAGTGCTTAACAACTGGAGAAAACACTTCGTTATAATCAACTCCTTCCTTCTGAGCGTAGCCTTTAGCCACCAATATTGCCTTGTAGCGCACATCATTCTTCTGAGGAAATCCATCTTTCTTTGCAAATACCACTTGCATTCTATCGCCCTTTTGCCTTTTGGTAGTTGCGTCACCTTCCAAGTTTGATTCTTCTGAAGAGACAACATTTCTTCCTCCATAGATCTTTTCCACTTCTCATTTTCTAAACTCCGAATTGCATCTTGAAAAGTGAAAGTTATGTCATCATCAACAATTGGAAGTGCATAAGCCACCATATCCACCAATCGAGCAGGTTGTTAAATCTCTCGTCTAGGCTTTCTCAACGCAATGGGTAACTCTAATGATTCTTGAGTCTGAACTTCATCATCCGACGAATCCTTTGATATTGGTTCGTCGATCATATCTGATCGTCTCGTCATCGCATCTATCTCCACCTGCTGTGGTGTCAACTCCACCTGTTGCGTTTGCGTCGTCTTTATCATACCATGTTCATCAAATGTAACATCCCTGCTAAACACAGTTTTGTTCGTCTCAAGACACAAAAGACGATATCCCTTCACGCCAATTGTGATTCACATGAACAAAGTCTTTCTCGCTCTTGGATCTAACTTTGAATCCTTCACATGATAGTACGTAGGACACCCAAAGATATGTAAAGATCCATAGTCAGCAACAGGTTTTCCCGACCATACCTCCAACGGAGTTTTACCATCTTTTGCAGATGACGACAATCGATTTATGAGGTGTTGCGCGTATGTTACATCCTCAACCCAGTACTCCTTGTCCAAACCAGCATTGGACAACATACATCGAACTTTCTCCACCAATGTTCGATTCATGCGCTCCGCCACCCCATTTTGTTGTGGTGTCCGTCTAACGGTGAAGTACCTAACAATGTCATTTTTACGGCAAACTTCTTGAAATGGATCACTTGTATATTCTCCACCATTGTCCGTCCGTAGGACCATGATCTTCCTTCCAGTCTGATTTTCAATTTGTGTCTTCCATGTAATGAAGACACCAAGCATTTCATCTTTCGTCTTCATAGAGTACACCCAAACACGTCTGGAAAAGTCGTCGATGAAAGTGACAAAATAGCGTCTTCCGCCTAATGATGGGGTCTTAGAAGGTCCCCAAACATCCGAATGAACATAATCCAAGACACCTTCGGTATTATGGATAGTCGTTCCAAACTTCACTCTCTTCTAATTTCCCCGAACACAATGCTCACAAAAGTCTAATTTGCACACTTTGACATTTTTCAACAATCCTTGTTTTGCTAATGTCTGGTCTGCAAGGATTTTTTACCAACATGTCCCAACCGCATATGCCACAACTTGACTGCTTCAGACTCCTTATTGGTGGAATCTGCTACTGTTGCTGTCCCAACGACTGTATCACCTTCATAGTAATACAAGTTATTCCTCCTGATGCCTTTCATCACCACGAGCGAGCCAGATGTAGCCTTCATAACTCCGTCTCGCAAAGTCACTACCAAGCCTTTTGATTTCAAGGCTCCTAATGAGATGAGATTTTTCTTCAAACTCGGCACATACCGAACACCGTCAATACTCTGGTGGAACCATCGCGATTCTTCAAACGGATTGAACCTATCTCGGTTGTCTTACAGGCATTATCATTACCCATGTAGACAACCCCTCCATTGATCTGTTGAAAATCAAAGAACCACTCCCTTATGGGAGACATATGGTAGGTGCATCCTGAATCTAAAATCCATTCGTCTGGATGAGATGATGAAGGTGAAACCACAAGTGAAAATTCTGAGTCTTCACTTTCACCCTCAGCAATATATGCATCTTGAGGAGATTTGTCCTTCTTCTTCAACTTAGGACAGTCTTTCTTCCAGTGTCCCTTCTCATGGCAGAAAGCACACTCGTCTTTTTCAAGCTTGGCCTTGGAACGTGATCTTCCTCGTCCATTCTTCTTTTGGCTCTTCGACCGACCTCTTGCAACTAACGCTTCATCTTCTACTGCTGCATTCTTCGTCTCTTGTTTGTTCTTCTTCCTCAATTCATAGCTATACAGAACAGAACTGACCACTGGAAGAGTTACATCGTCCTTCCCATGGAGCAGAGTAGTCTCTAAGTGCTCGAAGTCGTCTGGAAGTAATGATAACAACATTAGAGCCAAATCTTCATCGCTGAATGTGACGTCCAAATTCAACAAATCTGTAACCAACTGATTGAATGCAGTGACGTGGTCATTCATCAATGTGCCATGCCGGTACTCAAATCGGAACAATCGCTTCTTCATGAGGAGCTTATTCTGACCGCTTTTCTTAAAAAATTTATCCTCCAAAGCCTTCCACAGAGTGTGAGCAGAATTCTCATTCTTGAACGCGTACTTCTGCTCCCTTGACAAACACGAACGGATTGTTCCACATGCTAAGCGGTTGATATTCTTCCAGTCCTTCTCTTCAACGTCAGTGGGCTTCTCTTCTTCAATTGCAATGTCCACGCCTTGCTGAAATAGGCAATCCAGCACCTCGCCTTGCCACATGCCGAAATGACCGGTCCCATCGAAGATCTCCACCGGGAGTCTGACGTTCGGCATCACCGTCCTTGCCGGAATGAATGCAGAGGATGATCGCCCTTGACCTCTTTGGACATCTCGAACTCGAATGCAGTGCCCGCCTCTTCGAATTAGCCTAGGGCGAACTTGGCTTTGGTACCACTTGTTGGGGTAGAACACCAAGCGCAGCGGACAAAAATACCCCTTCAACAAATATGGCAAGCACTACTCCAAACGAAAATAAGTCAACACAAATAAATAAAAGACGATAAATAAAAAGAACACAAAAATTGATAACGGAGTTCGGCGAAAATAGCCTCCGTCTCCAGGCACCGCCAACCGCAACGCCAAATTTACTAAACTTACCAACAAAATACAACTAGGGTTAAATAACCCACAAATTAGGATTTCCTTAATTAAGGATTTCCTTCTAATAGAGGAGAGAATAGATTAAGGTGCAATTGTAACTTAAAGGTAAGGGACCTATTTATACTAATAAGATCCTACACATCTTTGGTATACATCCGATGTGAGACAAAACTTAATCGAAAAACTAACAGTATGAGGCAGAACTATTTGAAGTATGAATTGGAAAATCTACATACATGGGCCGCTATCTACTATCGAAATGGGCTATAGATAATTTGTCTTCCAATATAGGCTTTAAGCCCATTCTAAACTACTTGGATTGGGCTCCAGCTCGAAAATGGTCCATGATATCACATTATTATAAACTTCGGAAGATACAACTCCCCTACAATAAGGATGTTCGCAAATTATTAGCTACATCCTAATGTAGAATTTTTCTTTTTAATCAGCTGAATATTTAGTAAAATACAATTGAAGAATTAGATAAATATCGAACGCTTAAACTACATATATTATGTGTAATCCTTTGCAAAAAAGTGAGGAACATCCCATTACTGTGAACATTTAACAATATACACATATATTCAATTAAAAATAACTTATTTAAAAAAATTATTGATATTAAATCGAAAAATAGTGAAAACTTGTAAGAACCAGTGATGTGATCTTAATAAAGAAATGAGTAATTCATAAAAAAGTATAATATATATCATAATACATATCAGTATTTTTGCAAAAATTATGATAAACTTTAACCTATGCATGATGCCTAGAACTTTATGCTATATGTGTGATTCTAGAACAACTCTATATGTGTGATTCTAGAACTTTATGTTATTATAGAGAAACAAATATTGTAAAAGATAATAAAATTTAGTTTGCAGGATATTTTAGCCATTATAATTATATGGTTTCATGAATGAAAGCACGTCTATGTTGGGACTAGATTTTATCTTTTGTTTAATATTAAAACTAATCATTTAATTACTAAAATATATAAATGGAAGGTAAAACCATCGAGCGAAAGCACGAAACTCAATGAAGAGAGTATCAAATATTTTCTGTCAACTATTGATTTGGACATAATTTCAGTTTGGGAAAATGAGTTCCTTCAAGAAATCATATGATTGAGCTGACAAAAAGTTCACGTAAACCCGTCAATTTTTTCATGTGTATCACAAAACTGTATTTTGCTTCACTCTAAAGAAAGAACCCTGAAAATGAACATAACACAAACCCATTAATGCATAAAAATCATGTGTAACGTACACTATGATCATTAGGATTGATTTTGATGCGTAATTGTTGATAGATAGATAGTAACACAAAACAATATCTACCATCACTTGTAATAATACTACAAACCAATATTAGCATAACACTAGAGTGTTCTAACATTGAAAATCCGAAAGCCAAAAAGCTTGAAGATCTGAAGAGCCTCCTCTTAACACATTTATGTAAAGCAACACTTCACCAAACTTATATTATATATTGATGGGCCAAAAGTTCTTCCAAAATCCCAACTTAATTCGAGCACGAAAAAAAAAATGGCAACAAAGTTACTATTAACTTCTCTTTCTTGCTTTTGCATCTTAGCAATCATTGCCGGAGCCCAATCTCTGGCAGCTTCACCTACTCCGGCAACCACTCATTCGCCGGCCACCCCAAAGCCGCCAGCTCAGCAGCTGCCGCCAGCTCATGCACCGGCACCGGGGCCCGCCAAGCACAAGAAGAGGAAACACAGTCATCATCATCACAAAACACACGCACACGCAACGAAAGTCCCGGGCCCACGAGCCAGGCCCAAAGTCCAAGAGATCGATGGGAACACTTCACCAGCGCCATCGCTGACTTTATATCTGGTAAGATAAAACAAATTTTATCGATGTTT